TCACCAAGTTGCCCAGGCGGATCTCGAACTCGCAGGCTCAGGCAATCCACTCACCTCAGCATCCCAAGGCGCGGGATTACAGGCTGAGCCAACGAGCCCGGCTCAAATCACCTCTTCTACAGAAGAGTGCACTTGCTTCATAAAGACTTCTCTGTCAGCTGGGCGTGATGACTCACACTTGGAATCCTAGCCTTTGGAAGGCAGAGGTGAGAGGATTGTCTGAATTCAGGGAATCGAGACCAGCCTGGGCAACACGGTGAGGCCTCATCTCTACAATAAATCAAAAAATTAGCTGGACATGGTGGCACATGCCTGTCGTTACAGCTACTTGGCCGTATCACCTGAACCCAGCAAGTCGACACCACAGTGGCCATGAGCATGCCACTGCACTCCAGCCTGGGCAACAGAGTGAGACTCAGACTAAAAAAAAAAAAAGACTTCTGTGTCAAGCAGACATCACAAGGGAAAAAGTCTGGAGGAGGCAAGGTTTAGCTAGGTGCTTTTTAAACCCAATTTTTTTTCTGACACTAAGAGTAATATTTACTTATTGTTGAAAAAAGAAGTATAGTTTTTTAAATAAATGATTTTTAAAACTATCAATAACTGTACAATACCAAAATGGCCACTACTAACATTTTGGCCTTTTTCAGTCCAGCCTGTATCTGGGAAAGTCCTTACTTTGCTGGGGTCAAATTATATCATATTTTGTAACCTGCTCTGTTTTTTTTTTTTTTTTTAAGTGAGAAAGCAGAATTTATTGAGAGGACAGAAAAGCTCCCACAATGGGAAGTGACCCAAAGGGGTTTCCCATAGCCTTCTCTTTTAAGCTTAGTAGTATATAGCCTATGCCTTCTCCCAAACTAAAAGAAAAAAAAAACACTTCATAAAAATGACTCTTAGCCGGGCTCGGTGGCTCAGCCTGTAATCCTGCGCCTTTGGAAGGTTGAGGTGAGTGGATTGCCTGAGCCCGCGGGTTCGAGACCCGCCTGGGCAGCGAGACCTCATCTCTACAATAAATCAAAAAATCAGCTGGGCGTGGTAGCGCGCGCCTGTAATTCCGGTAACTTAGAAGGCTGAGGCGGAAGGATCACCAGAGCCCAGCAGGTCGAGGCTGCGGTGGCTGGTAGCGGCTACTGCACTCCAGTCTGGGTGACAGAGTGAGACTCCAACTCAAAAAAAAAAAAAAATGACTCTTGATGGCTATATGTCATTGGTTGCTTAACATGAAGATGGACAGCTACATTCTTCCTTTTTTTCATCATTACAATTAGGTGTTAGAGATCTTTGTTCATACAAAGAGCTGTATGATGTTCATGGATATTTCATCCACAGACATTATGAAAAACAAAAAACAATTCTGCAGTCAAAAAAGTTGGTTTAGAAACAAAGTTGGATAGGTTATTTATTTATTTTTTGAGTTGGAGTCTCACTCTGTTGCCCAGACTGGAGTGCAATGGCATGCTCACGGCCACCGCAGCCTTGACCTAATGGGCTCAGGCAATCCTTCCACCTCAGCCTTCCAAATAGCTGTAACTAGAGGCATGCACTACCCTGCCCATCTAATTAGGATAGGTTATTTCTAAAAACCTTTATCCAGCCAATGTATATATGACTCTTCAAGCTGGTGGCCAGTTTTCAGCCCCTCCCAAACTTGTTTGCTTTTAGGATTCCATTATTCAGGCTAGTTAAATCACAGTCCACATTTCTAGCTATCTCCATAAGACAGACTCCCAAATGTGGCTTTACTGGGTCAAATGGTACTGCTATTTTGCAAGCAATGACTGTGTGGTTCTAAACCGCTCACACAAAAGGCTGTACCCAGTTACACCCCTGTCAGCAGCACATCAATGTACTGTCCAATAGCTGGCCAGGGCTACGAACTTGTTTTTTAATCTTTGCTGACAGGCAAAAAAAAATGGTACTATTATTGTATCTGTGTTTCCTGGATGATAGCCAAGTTGAACAATTGAGTGTTTGTTAGCAAGTTGTATTACTTCTTTTATGAATTACCTTATTTTCTAGGCTGAAACATTACTTTTTTTTTTTTTTTTTTACTTTAATGTTTTTGAAAACTTTCTTCTTTTTTTAGACACCGCCTTACTTTGTCACCCAGGCTGGAGGGCAGTGGCACAATCATAGCTCATAGCAGCCTTAAACTCCTGGGCTCAATGGACCCTCCCACCTCAGTCTCTTAAGTAACTAGAACTACAGGTAAGCACCACCATGCTCGGCTAATTATTGTTTTTTTGTTTTTGTTGACCAGCCTGGTCTTAGGCCAACCTCCCATCCTGGCCTCTCAAAGTGCTGGAATTACAGTCATGAGCCACCGCACCCAGTCCAGAGTATTTTTTTTTTTTTTGAGTTGGAATCTCACTCTGTTACTCAGGCTGGAGTGCAGCGGCACACTCACAGTCACCCCAGCATTGACCTGCTGGGCTCTGGTGATCCTTCTGTCTCAGCCTTCCATGGAGCGGGAACTACAGGTATGTGCTACCATGCCCGGCTAATTTTTTTGATTGTAGAGACGAGGTCTCGCTAAGTTGCCCAGGCTGGTCTTGAACCCTTGGGTTCAGGCAATCCACTTGCCTCGGTCCCCCAAAGTGCTGGGGTTACAGGCTGAGCCACCGAGTCCAGCTAGAGTATTTCTTATCATCAAAATGTTTACGCAGAAGTGGATTTTTTTCCTTCTTTCAAAAGCTGTCAAGAAACTGATAAGTTTTGAAATAAAAGGTTATAGCTTTGATTTTTAAAAAATACTTTAATGTATCTATTGGGCTCTTGGTGTTTTTCCATAATGATCTGTATGATCTTTTTCTACAATAAGGCTACTAATCTTTTGCCTGTCATCCAGACTTTGAAAAAATACGTAATTCCCCCCTTTTTTTGTTTTGTTTTGGGTTTTTGTTTAGTCAGAGTCTCACTCTGTCACCCAGGGTGGAGTGCAGTGGCACACTCACGGCCACCACAGCTTCGATCTGCTGGGCTCAGGTGATCCTTCTGTCTCAGCCTTCCAAGTAGCTGGAACCACAGGTGCGTGCCACCACACTTGGTTCATTTTTTAATTTCTTGTAGAGATGAGGTCTCACCAAGTTACCCAGGCTGGTCTCAAACCCCTGGGCTCAGGCCTCCACCTCCCAAAGTGCTGGGATTACAGCTGTGAGCCACTGCACATGGCCATTTTGTTTGTTTGCTTTTTGTTTTAAATTTTATTTCCTTTTAAATAACCCTTGCCCTCCTCTCACCTTCCCCCTTTAGGAGTCTCCAGTGTCTGTTGTTTTCCTCTTTCTGTCCATGTGGACCCCGTGATGACCTCCCACACAATCCCCTTAAGTTATTCCCATTTAGATACCTTTCAGGAGGTGCAGCAGTGTTAAGGATAAATACTGGTGTGGGGGGGGCTCCTTCTGATCCCTTGTGTATTGGGTGGTGAACTCTTCCAGCCACTTGATGAAAGCAGGGCAGGCAGACAAGCCTTGAAGCAGGGAGTTCATGAAGCAGGTGTTCCCTAAGTTGACAAGGCCAGGCACGAGCCCTAAGAGAAGTGGGGGGAAGGAGATAACAGCACGTCACATCCAACCATCTCTCTTTCCTCTCCTATTTGGGACCCAGAATTTCTGTGCTGTGGCCTTCAATCTGGAGTCCCATTCTAGGCAGGCCTTTACATGCAGATAGCTGGAGGCCACTCCTGTCTGTGCCACAGCCTGGTCCTAGCGCTGCTCCTGCAGACTGCAAGGGACAGAAGGACCAGTACCCGCTGTGTTATTTGTGAAGACCATCACAACACCTGGTACAGCTTGGCTTGCACTAAATGTATAAAAACACTTTTCATGATCTCCTTTCTTTCTCTCCCTCATTCTCTCTTCTTTATAAGAAAGCAATGCTTCTCAGAACAGAAGAAAACAATTGCTCAGCTGTTGCTACCCCAGGACAATGATTTTGTTCTTGTTTTAACAATCAGTGGAAAAGATACTATTATAACAATTCTGATCAGTCCTTCTGCAGAGATCAACAAAACTTGATATACTTCCCTCTTCTGCTGACAATCTTTTAAAAGAAGCTTTTTATTATGAAAGTTCTCTGACTGTGCACTAGAGGAGAGAGAATGCATTATGAACTACAATCACAACCATCCCCAGATGTAACACTGACCAAATACTGCCACATCCCTTTCTTTCTTCTTTCTTTACTGAATTTCAATCACTATTAAGTAGAGCAACATTTTTAAAAGGAGCATTTTTAAAAATAAAGAAATAGTTTATTATAGTTAATAAGAATAATTAATAATAGTTCTTATTGATGAAACTAATGCGAATTTTTTACCAGTTACTAGCAAGCTAGTCCAAGAAACCACAGAGGCATGATGTAATTAGTCAGTGTACTACTGAAAAACACAATTGCTACATTAATGAGAACACTTAGACAATTAAGCCACTTGAAATTCATTACAAAACATGCCTCAAACTCAAGGCTGAAGTGGGGCTGAAACAGAAATATTTTTACTACAGGGTGTCAAATAATGACTCAATGTAAAAGTATTGTTTCAGACACCGAAGTCCTCATTTTAAAGATACAAGAAGAAAAAAAGTGACGGACTCCTCCACCTTTTCGTACTGTTTCCAGATAACAGGGTTTTGAGTCAAGTCTACAGACATGACACCATGGCCTCATTCTTACCTTTTCTACGCTTCTTTCTTTCTGTGATCGGACCCCAAATAACATAGATTCCTGCAGCAAGGGCAGCGGCAATTCCACCTATAACTCCCCAGTTCTTCATGACTTTGTATCTAGAAAAGAAAATAAGTTTACTGTCTTCCCTCATCACAAACACAACATGTGAGCATGCAAAGATAAGCAGAATAACATTTTGTCAAAATATCTGATTCTCAAGTTAAAATAATATAGTGAGAGGATTGTGTCTTGAAAGCCAGGATATTGAGACGTTAAGATTCAACATCTGGCTAGGCACAGCAGCTCAAGCCTGTAATCCCGGCAATTTGGGAGGCCGAGGTGAGAGGACTGCCTGAGCCCGTGAGTTCATGACCAGCCTGGGCAACATGGTGAGACCTCGTCTCTACAATAAATCAAAAAAATTGGCTGGGCGTGGTAGCATGCACCTGTCGTTCCAGCTACTTGGAAGGCTGAGGCAGAAGAATCGCTGGAGCCCAGCAGGTAGGTGCTGGGGTGGCCATGAGCATGCCACTGCACTCCAGCCTGGGTGACGGAGTGAGACTCCAACTCAAAAAAAAAAAAGATTTAAAATCTAAATCAGAGCACAATATTCCAAAAGTCACATCTCACTTAGAGGAAAAGCTGGAGGTTCTCTCCTACCCTTTCCCACTCCACTGCCACACCAGCCCCTACCAGCCACCGCTATGACCTCAGGGCCTTTGCACTGCTGCTCCCTCTGCCAGAATACTCTTCCCCCCATCACAGCTTGGCTCGCTCCCTCACCTCCCCCCACTCCTCCAGAAGCCTACCCTGAATACACTATGCTATTCGAGACTGCACCCCTGGCCCCCTCCCCAGTTCTACTTGTTTTATCACAGCACTTACCACCTTCTAACATAATATTCACTCAGTAACTGTGTTCGCTGTCTGCCTTCCTCTGCTGGAATGTAAGGTCCCTGAGGGCAGGGGTCTTTGCTTCTTTCACTCACCGACACAGCCCAAGTGTCTAGATAATGCCTGGCACAGAGTAGGTTCTCAGTAATATTTACTGAGTGATTGAACACTGGAGAAAATATACAGAAATGGATTTCTCTTTTAGAATATCAAATGGGAAACGGGCATACGATAGTATAAAATATCTGAATATTTGTAAAGTTAAAGATTTATTTATTTCAGTTTCGACTTGAACACTAGAGCCACGCTTTGCTACAAATGAAGAAATCTCACCAGTAACTTAAAACATCGTTTTTATACAGTTTTGCATTTTCACCAAGTAAGGCAAACCATAATGTGTATATATCTACGTATAATGTACACTTGTATATGTGTCACATATGTGCATATATGTGTGCATGTATTAGTGGATCATGTGAATATTGTTCTGATCTCAGCTCAGTAAACATTAACTCAGTGACTCTGTCTAACATCAATCAACATTTTTCCTAGTGTCACAGTTGGTAGCTCAATTTCACATAAGTCTTTGTTTTTCAAGACACAGACAAGAGAGTGTACACAGAACTTGGTTAAGAAAGTGGGATTCCATTAATCTGGTTCAGTCTTGGATTTGCTATTTCCTAGGGCATCATTTCACCTTCTAAGCCTCAGTTTCTTTATCTGTACAATGAGGACAATACATGAGACCTACCACATACAGTTGTGAAGATTGAGTGTTAACGCACAGGGTACATACCAAGAACTTAGTAAATGTTAGCTGCTACAATTATTAAGTATTATAATCTCAGGTTCATTAATGAAAGTTTATTTGTGAGGTTTCTTAATGCATTATTATGCTGACTTTTACTTAATACATGAATTCACAAATGTGCCCGGAAAAGTTTTCTATCGAAGTGCTAAAGCACTTTACAAGTGCTTTAAAATCCCTCAATCAAACACTAATATTTAAGGGCACACACTCTGCCAGGCACTGTGATAATCTTATCTCATTCTCTTTTTTCCTTTTTTTAAGTCAAAGTCTCACCCTGTTGCTCAGGTTGCAGCACAGTGCCACGCTCACAGCCACTGCAGCCTTGGCCTGCTGGGCTCAGGAGATCTACACCACAGCCTTCCAAGTAGCTGGAACCACAGAAGTGTGTCACCACACCCAGCTAATTTTTTAAATCATTGTAGAAATGAGGTCTCACTAAGTTGCCCAGGCTAGTCTCGAACCCCTGGACTCAGGCAATCCTCTCTCCTTGGCCTCCCAAAGTGCTGGGATTATAGACATGAGCCACGGTGCCCAGTTTGTCTTATCTCATTCTCAAAACAACTTCACGGAAGTAGGTTTTACTATCACCCCATTTTTATAGACAAGGAAACTAAGATGCCAACTTGGTCACAGTGAGTGAGGGAACAAGACCCTGAATCCATGCCAGCCTGGCTTCCAAGTCCGTGCTTAAAACCAGGAAGTTCACGGTGGAAACTGAAGGACAGTGGGTGGAAAAGACAGGAGACAGGACTTGCCCAGGTCCTTGGCAGGGCATAGACAAAGACTGCGAGATGAGTGGTGACTTTGGAAACCTCATTCCTCTGCAAAATGACATTGCAAGGAGAGTGGTAGAGCCTAGGAATGAAAAGATCAGGCTTTTCCTTCCAGCTCTACTATCAGTCAGCTGTGGGGCCACATTTCCCATCTACGAAATGGGGGCACTAGACAGGACAGTCGTTGAGAACTTCCAGTCCTGGGATAATCAGCTCTTTAGACCTGCTCCAGTTCCAGAGGAAGCTGACCTGAGCAACAGGCCTCAGTCTTTTGGGGTCAGCAGTGGGGGTGTGGTGCTCAGCTCCCAAGCCCGGAGCCCTAGGGAGGATAAATAAGAGGAGGGAATGGGAGCCCTGACGGGACTCCCACTGGGGCCTCAGACAATTCGAGGTCCTAGCAGGAATGGAGAGCCTGGTCGGGACTGAGCAACCTTAACAGGTTAAGGGGCCCTGACTGGCTTACCGACCCTTGGAAGACCAGGGTCTTTATCCACACTAATAGGGTTTGGGACCCAGGCAGAAGTGGGGATCCCTGGCAGACTGCATAGGGGCTGGCAGGAATAGAGGGACTGACAAGGGGGGCTGTAGGCATGGGGTACTTACTGGACTGGAAGAAGTGACTGGGGAACCCTGGCAGTCCTGAAATTGGTATGACTGGGGGGCTCAGAAGGACGGGGGATATACCAGGACAGAGGGGTTTTGACAGATCTGAGAGGCACGGAAAGGACCGGGCGCACTGACAGGGGCCCTGGAAGTCCTGGGGGCAATGACAGGATGAGGGAGGCACGGGTCGGGGTGGGGGGAGGTCTAATGGAGAGGGACTGACAGAACTGGCGTTGCGGAAGGACTGCAGGCCGTCACTCCTCCCACCTAAGGGTCTAGGTCTCCGACCCCACAGGACGCAGAAGCTTCTGGAGCGCCGGCTGGGGCTCCGGAGACCTCGACAGGGCGAGAAAAGGTCGCCACAGGCCCAAGCTAGGTACTCCAGTCCCGGCCTCTGCGGCCGCCCCGCCCCCCAATGCTCACCTGACAGCCGCCCCGGTCCGCAGGAAGCGCTGGATGGCCCTGTCGGCCGCGGCCATCGCCGCCTCAGCCCGGGAGCTCAGCATCGCAGCGGCCCCGGAGGCGCGCAGCCGCTCCCGCCGCCACCACCGCAGCCGGACCCGGAGCTCCGCAGGCTCCCGAGGCGGCGGAACTCGCGGCCGCAGTCGCCGCTCCTCGGGGGACGGCGGGCCGAAGGACTGGCCCCTGTGCGGACCGGAAATAGCCGCTGCCGGAGAGCAAAAGCCGCGGGACCACTTCCTCGTTCTTTCTTTTCCCCCTGGCAACTGGTGCTGGCGTCGATCGCGAAGGAGGCCCAGCGGCACGAGGCCGCCTGTTTTTCAGAGTTTACCCAGGCTCCGTTCATCAGCACAGATATCTCGCCTCCGGGAGGGACCCCGGGTCGTGGTTCGGACTTTTCAGTGTGGCGAGGAAGGTCCCGCCCGAAAGCGGGGTCGGGTTTCTGCCACCGTTCGTCGATGGTCCGGCTTGGAAATAGGTCGCAGAGGAGGGGCCTTTATGGTCACGTGACCCGTGTCTGCCGTCATTCGGAAAGAAGCCAAGGTCTTCAGTGATGGCCACCAAACCGTGTATGGCCAAGTACGTCGCAGGCATTACTCACACCAACCGGAACGTTACCCACATTTTTCCTCTCAGGAAATTTAGGGAAGTCCTGAGTCTTTTGACACAGATCGTAAGTGTTGGAGCTGAGCTGGGCCATCAAGTCTGTCCCCGGAATAGCGCTGTCCAACAGAAATAGGACAGGAGCCATCTACATCGTTTTAAGTTTTCTAGTAGCCTCATTAAAGTAAAAAGCAAGGGGTGAAGTTCATTTTAACTGGACAGGCGCAGTGATCCCTGCCTGGAATCCCAGCACTTTGGAAGGCTGGGGCGAGAGGAGAGCTAGCGACCAGAAGTTCGAGACCAGCCCGGGCAACATAGGAAGACCACAGTCTCTACTAGAATAAGATTTTTTTTTTTTTTTAGTTATAGTCTCACTCTGTCTCCCAGACTGGAGTGCAGTGGCCGCTCCCGGCCACCGCAGCCACGACATGCTGGGCTCCGGCGATCCTTCCGCCTCAGCCTGCCGAGTAGCCGGAACTACAGGGGCGCACTACCACACCCGGCTGATTTTTTGTAGCGATGAGGTCTTGTCAAGTTGCCCAGGCGGGTCTCGAACCCGCGGG